ACACACACACACACACAACACACACCACACACACACCCACACACACAAACACACACACACACACCACACACCACACACACCCACCACCCACACACAACACACACTAATTTTATCGGGTTGACGAAAAATTTTATTATTTTAACTTATACCAAATTAACTTATCATTTCCCCAAATTGCAATACCGTCCAACACACACTCTCCTTTATTTATTATCTGTCGGGTTATAAATTTTTTTACCAATAAGGAAAAGGGGCTATAAATTCGTATAAAGCGTTGAAAGGGGCGTATAAAGCGTTGAGGGGCGTTAAAGGTGGCGTATTGTATGTATTTTTGGGACGTACAAATTAGCGTATTAGTTCCTAAAATCGGGCGTATTAGTTTCCTAAAACGGCGCAAAAAGACCTCCCAGATTTATACATTGTTAGTACGATATCAACCGATCGCGAGATTGAGTAACATACACAACATTAGTATTTCATTCTATGTATTTCGGTTAATGTAGAACCACCATTACCCGCAAAGGTGACGTCCGGTAGCGAGCGGAGCGAGTCAAACCAATCCGGGAATAATCCGGGCCGGAGTGAAATTACGACGCGAAGGTAATGTCAAAATCCTCGACCCCGTCATTATATCATTCACATCCGCCTCGGCACTGTAAAAGTTTACTCGGGGTCTTTTTTGGTTGTGTCGGCAATTGACAAACGTGAGTACGAGGAGTATAGACAAGTCATTGATCTGTTTTTTTCAATTTGTTCATGTTTTAGACTGACAGACACAGTTACCGCTTATGTCAGCGACCAAATAAAATACAGACACATCCGCAACACCTCACACCTGCCCAGGGCCTCGTATACGGATATAAGGCGCAAGCGGAATCGGCTAGAGGTAAATCTGTTGTTTAGATTTAGTGCAAATAAATATATGCGTGTGAAAATTTTGCTAAAAACCAGCTCGGTTTCACGACATCGATGTATATTATTTGTTATGGGATGTCATTTCTTGGAAATGTCGTTATGGTTGTCGTGTCAAACACGTTCTTATAGTCATACTCTTTCTGTGGAGACTGGGAGTGTAGCATGTTCACTTTTAGGGAGGCCTCTTTTTGGGGTGTCAATTTCCCTTTTTACCCTCTTTGGAGGGTCCCTCTCGGTTTGTCTCCTTCCCTAGCGGAGAGGGTCCTGCCTGTCTGCACGGTTATGCTGACCGGCACACATTTAGCTCTCTATTATGTAAAATGGTCGCATCCATCTGGTTTTACAACCCTTTACGTACACAGATATTATTCTTCTAGTGCTTAAAATTTTCCAAAAAGCGCGACGGGCAGACAGACGTCTGACAGTTTCGTAATTAAGTACCAAAAATGATTGGCCATCGGTCATACAACAATGAAGCGGTAGTAAAACTTTGCACATAATGTTAATTTCTAGTGCCAGGGTTTATACAAGTTAGAAACAACATCACACACTCGGCGCGCGAACTGGTCGTGGGGAGAAGAGATTTAGGCGTAGGGGTCCGGGCTTCTCCGGATAGGGATATGTAGTCGTCGTCCTACTCTAGACTTCTGATTTAGGATTTGCCGTCGTAACCGGTTGTGTTGTCTTTAGCCGGAGGTCTTAGCGACCCGCTCGACTTCGATTTTGAATCGGGGCGTGCCGAAATCTCTGTCCCTCCGGAGAAAGGACCGACACAAGTACAGTCCCTCTTCCGAAACTACGACGAGACCTCCCGCCGGACACCCCCCCCCTCCAAAAGCCTCCCTCGACACCCCCCCCCTCCGGAGACCACCTTTTCCCCTCCCCGACCACCCCCGCCCCCCCCTTTTCGGCCAAAAAAATATACCAATGGGAAATTTAAAAAATTTTGGGTCCCTATTCCGAAATTCTCTAACTTCTTGGGGGGGGGAGTTCTTAAGGACCCGGGGTCACTTGGGACGGACCTTGGAGGGCAGCCTCGAGAAAGGGAGACCTCCGAGAAGGGGAGGAGTCCTAAACCAAAACTTTTTGGTTAAGGGAAGGGACCCTTAAGGAGAAGGGAAGAATATTCTTGGGTGGCGCAAGAACAAAAAGGGGGCTCTGAAGGACCCCTTGGGGGTGGACAATTAATAGAAAAAGGGGTTTTACCCATGTGTCCACACACACACACACACACACACACACACACACACACACACACACACACACACACACACACACACACACACACACCTCCGCCTCATTCTGTTTTCATTTACTCGTTCGTTATCTGACCAGCTTCAATCTTGTAGGCTACTCACTTTGTTTCTTGTAGCCCTCGAAAGGGTTTTGGAGGTGGATCCCTCGGTGAACGTGAGTTGAATGGCTTTCTTGTCCGCAGCAGCAGAAAGCATTTTCGAATGTTTGAATGAATCAAAGTGGGTCGTCACCGTCGATTCCACCGTCGATTTTCTCTTATGCTCCAACACACAGTTGCACGGGGTGCAGAATAGTTTCCCCCCACTTTTTGCCCGGTCTTTAGTAGAAATGTTCGTTGGTAAATGAGCTCTATACAGTGTTGTTTACATTCTGTGATGTGCGAGCTGATGACGTCAAGTCAAGACGAGTTAACTTTTTTTTCTTCTCAACTTTGTGTGGAAAAATGCGGGGATTATGCGGCCTTTTGATAAATATGCGGCCTTTTAAAAATCTGCGCCATTTTGCTGATTATGCGGTAAATTCTGCGATCGCAGAATCGCGTTTTTCTGGAGGGTCTACATATTGATGTAATTATGTTAAAGAAGTAAACTAAGGAGTGTATTGGAGGTGTTTCAAGCTAGTAGGGAGTGTGTGGGAGAGAAACTCCCTCTGGCATGATCTTTTGTTTTTTGGGGAAATCCCCCATCAGCATAATAGGGCCTCTTTAAATGACGTTAATTTTCTATTTTGCTGTAGCTTTTATCCAAAATGACTCACAAAGAAACTCTACCCTATTGAGTATGCCAACAGGAGTAATTTGGGGTCCAGTATCTTGCCCAAGGACACGTTCACAGGTGGAGCACAGGAGCAAACCACTACCTCCGATTGGTAGACCAACATTTGTCATACAAACAGCAACCCTGGCACAGTTTGACCAAAGCTGCTTGAGAACAACAACAGGTTGAGAATCAGTGAATCAATGTGGACTTTGACCGCAATTAGAATCAAACCAACAACTCAGCTAACTGTTGGCATTCCGCAAACATTAGGCTCAGGCCGATGACGCTTTCAATGGCAAATGCCAGTGTGGTTTAGGAAGACAGAGGTTGACCCGAGACACTTTGAACAAAAGGCAACACACCTCTCTGAGACTTATTGTTATTTTTAAAAGATAGCCCTTCCCCATCTCTATCCATCATTTGAATCAAGCAGATGTCAGGCAGAGAAGCCTCTCTAGAGGAGTTGTATGCTCTTAATCAGATCTTTCTAACAAACAGCAAAGGAGCATCTTAGGGTGAGCAAAGAGAAGGGCAGGACGAAAGGGCAACTGGAAAACCCAGTGGAGCACCAATTAAAAGCAACAAGCAGCATATTTCCTTGGTAAATGAAAGTGATCCTTTGGAAATGTAGAGTTATTCTTCTGCTGCATTAATTGCAGTCTGCTCTGAATAAAATGCATGAAGATGCCAAGAGCCAACATTTTTGAAGTATAATCAATAAAAGATTCACTGTTTACTGAGTAGGTTATTGATACATAATTCATCAAATCAGTCCATCAATCCATCCCATTCAACTGACTGACCAACAGACCAACCTATAGCAACATCCACAAATCCTTTGCAGTATACAAGAGCACAAGACCCTGATGTAAGAGTGTTACCCCTAGATTCCACCGGGTCTGTTTGCGGCGCATTACGGCCTCGCCGCGGCGATCGCGGCCACTCTAGTCAATGGGTGCTATTCCACCACACGCGGCGCGTTACAGCTCAGAAGCGTCCCAGAAGCTTCCCAGAAGCGTCTCGGCGCAGGGCTCCTCTAAAGTTAGGATCAATCCTATTTTGGACGCGACGTAATGTCGGGCAGGCAGGAAGGTAGGAGTAGAAACGCCAGCATTCTCCTCC